GATAGTCGAATAGAAGTGGGAGTACGTGATAATGGATTTTGTAACGAGGTTACCTAAGTCACCCAGAGGGCACGATGCTATATGGGTAATAGTGGACCACCTCACCAAGTCAGCGCATTTCTTACCCTATAAGATGACCGACACTTTAGAGTCTATGTGCAGACTCTACATTGGGGAGATCATTCGACTACATGGAATTCCGGTATCTATTGTGTCAGATCGTGATCCACGATTCACCTCTCGATTTTGGGGAAGCCTGCAGGAAGCTCTTGGTATGGAGCTATCTTTTAGCACCGCCTTTCACCCACAGACAAATGGACAATCTGAGTGCACTATCCAGACACTCGAAGATATGCTAAGAGCGTGCGCGATGGATTTTCAAGGAAGTTGGGAACGACACCTACCCCTAGTTGAACTCGCCTACAACAACAACTTTCAAGCTAGCATCGGTATGGCGCCTTTTGAAGCATTATACGGACGACGTTGCAGATCGCCGATTTGTTAGACGGAAGTGGGTGATGCAAATCTGATAGGACCTAAACTTGTTCTAGAAACTACTGAGAAGGTCAAATTAATCCAACAACGGTTAAAGACTGCCCAAGACTGCCAAAAGAATTATGCAGACAAGAGGAGAAGACCATTGATGTTTGAAGTAAGTAGCCACGTGTTTCTAAGGTGCAACCCAGGCGTGGAGTCGTACATTTTGGGAGAAAAGGGAAGCTATCGCCACGATATATTGGACCTTTTGAGGTATTAGAAAGAGTGGGCGAAGTAGCATATAGATTAGCTCTACCCCCGCAGTTAGCAGGGATACACAACGTCTTCCATGTATCTATGTTGAGAAAATACATTGCTAACCCGACACACGTCCTCAAATGGGAAGAGATCAGTCTTGACAAAGATATTACGTTTAAAGAAGGATCGCTAGCAATAAAGGATCGTCAAGAAAAGAACCTTAGAGGCAAGACAATTCACTTGGTGAAAGTGCTATGGCGTCATTGGGGAGTTGAGGAATCTACTTGGGAACGCCAGGATTGGGTGAAGGCAAACTACCCCGAGCTTTTCGAAGGCAGTATATAGTTGAATTTCGAGGACAAAATTGTTTTAAGGGGGATAGGTTGTGAAGCCCCTGAAATATGTATTCCCTAATGTTGAATTATTTTCTTAAAGCCCCTCGGTTACTAGAATTTATTCGAATCTTGTTGGTTAGCATTACTATTTTATTTTTATCGAAACATGAATTACCCAAGCCGGATTAGGTTCCCTAACCTAATTTAATTCTACCTAAGTTACATGTATTTAACTCCAAGCCCTCACTCTTTATTTAAATTCAAAACTTGCCCCAAAAACTAGTACTTGTACCTTGTACCTTGAAGTACCATCAATCATGTAAGATATATATGTATATATACACCTTGAGGAGTGTGCCCTAGGACCAAAATTAATAAAAAAATGGCCCTTCACCCTTCCCTATGGCCGGCCTTTCTAGGAGGAAGAGAGGAGACAATTTTCAAATATATCATCATGAAATTCTAGAAAGAAACACAACCTAGTACCCTAGACCTAGGATGCTAATTCCTAAACTAGTTCCATTTTAACTAAGTATTGCCAAATCCTTGAGTAAGCCTCCCAAATCATCCCTATTTCCTTTAAAACTTCAAACAAATCCTAACCTTTCCACCCATTTCCAACTAATGGGCTTTTAGGACTTTTTACCCCAAAATTTGCCTATAAATACCAACCTCCCCTAAGCTTGGCAAGCACCAAAAACACCACACCACACACACACATTCAGTTAGAGAAAGGAGGAGAGCAAGAGAGAGAAGTCTAGAAGAGAAGAATGAGGAAGAATAGAGCTTTCTTGTGCAAGCTTAGTAGGTAAGCCACAAACACAACCTTCTCTTTCATTTTCCTTTTTTTCAATACATGTTTCTAAGGGTTCTAAATAATGTTTTCAGATCTTTTATTACTGAGTTCTCGTGTTAAAAATGCTAAGGGTTGAGTATTGATTCCATCTATCTTGTATTTTCTCCATTTTGGCACAAAACCATCTTTTTCTATACCAATCTCTCAACTTTCCAAGGGCACTCTTTCAAGAAAATTTTCTGAGTTAAATATATGTTAG